CAACTTTTTTCTTTCTGTTTTAAAACGCTTTGAAAAAGGATTCGCGTATTTTAGGGCCACTTAGAGATGCTGAAATTGTGATGTTTTAAGGGTTTTGTGCCCTTGAAAGAGAGAAGTTGGAAAGTAGAAAGCCGATATCTGAACAAAGACTGCACTGCAAAATGAAGAGAGTAGCTCTGGACTTGCTGGAAATGTGGGAGAAGAGTTATAGAATAAAAGAACAGCCTGCCCTCAGCAAAGGAATTTAATATCCTCTCTGCTCTACTAATGGATTTTTAACATTGCTTGTTGCTTACAGAGCACCATCATCAATAGGCTTGAAATGAGAGGCTGCTGTGTGCCAGAAGATTAGGGCAATCTGACTATAAAAGGTTTAGTTAAAAAAACCTGATATGTAAACAGCCAACTGCTCTCTGGCCTTCTGCTCTTTCAATCTTACCGAGGGCTTTGGCTCTTTCATCCTGCAGCTCTCTCATCAGCGCAACCTCTTGTCATTGTTCCTGTTCTTCATTAGTGCAAACAGACTGGCAACATTTGCAGCAAAGGGCCTCACACATAAAACACTGATGTGCAGCTTGCCACAGACAGAATTCCTTTCCCTTCCACCCTCTTTTCCCCATTTCAACTGGCAATGGAGATGGAAAGCATAGAGACAGGATAATTGTGCTCTCCTCTGCCCAACACTCATTGCATAGACAGGATGTGGCCACAAACAGGCTCCTGCTCCGGAGCCATTTATGCCCTTGGATGCACATGTAGCTGGGGAAGACCTTGTCAGAGGCTGCAGGTGGAGGTAACAGCAGGATATGGCAAGGCTAGAGATGACTGAGGGCACACCATGGGTAACTGGGCAGCTGTACCAGTTTCGTATGGAAGTTATTTTTGCAGTTAGTCACAATGTGCTGCTTCTTCGTAGAATTTTACAATCACATTTCATAATGAGTTGTTTCAGTTCCTTTCTCACAGCATTTCCATAAGCAAAAACATGAAATGCTAAACGTGGAGAAACATTCAAATGAAACCTTTCAACTCACGTGCAAATGCTTGGAAAAATCTTTTTTTGAAACAAACTTTTGCTTAAACTGACAATTTTCAAGAGAAATTCTACTCATTTCAGTGACATTGACGTAAGCTGGATAGAAAAACACTTCTGAATACTTCTGTCATCTGCTCAGAGAGGCTCTTGCAGCCTTCACTGTTATGACCTGAGACCAAATTTAGTCCCTGACTCATAGCAGTTCTGGCTTAAAGCACACTCACAAGTGCACCTCTATGTGGTATCAGTTATTATTTAAAAGAACAAGGAAAACATCCGCCAAATGATCATGAATAAGCTCTTGCAGCTCAGTAAAGCAAAAAGAGCGTTATCTGTGCTGGGATCTATCTAGGAATCACAAAGAAATATGAACATTTCGTTGGAACTTTACAATATTGCTACATATTTAAAATTTTAAACCAAAAATGCCAAACTGCTAACATTTTACCCATCAACAGGAATAGCTCCAAGGCATCATTTAAACTCTCTGTGGTTAACAATGATTTGCATTATCTGAATTCAGCCTAGACGCAAGCAGGAAGAAGCCAAACCCATCCAGGTCACGACTTCCCTCATTTACACATGCAACTTGCACCAGCACTTATGTTTTGTTATGGTTTTTTTAATGTTTTTCCATGACTTTATTTGTTATCTGAAAGTCTGAATTAATTAATTAACAATTAATTAATTAATTAACAATTACTGACTGTAATTGTTACGGTACCACTATCAGAGATATTGAAAACGACAAGGATAACAACACAGTGTAGCTACAACCGACTGGCCTGCAGAACAACATGACCTGTAAAAAAAAAATGCAATAAATTCCAGCAGGCAACTTTGCTTTTAGCAAAATGATATCCAGTGCTGTTTGTTGGGAAGGCTCAGAAGTCACAAACTTTCTGGAGGGATGGTGGCAGAAGATCTTTATGTCAGAAGGCACCAGCAAATATCTAGATCTCACTAATGGGCAATTGAGTCAATACATACATTCAGATTTAGGAACTGTCATGAGGAAAACATAGCTGAAATAGTGAACACCATCAGGGAACAGATAACTGCATATGAACATGACTAAGCATCCAAAAGTGAACTCGTGAACTCTAAAGCTTGTTACTTGCAAGCTTCTACCAGTATGGGCTGCTTGAAAATCATGGCAACACAGACTAAAGCCAAGTGGCACAACCAAATTTTTCCAATTAATAAAAAGACATGTGGGGGGCATCTCAGTTAAAAGGTTAATAGTGGATTGTGCTTCTTTCTGCATATATGCTACTTGGACTGGAGAAACTGCTGGCTTTTTTTTTTTTTTTTTTTCTTCCAAAAGAGCTGCTGCCAAAAGATGAGCATAAAGAGACGCTCTCAAAAATAACAAGGTCAACATCCAAAGTAAAGAAAACATCCTGGAGACGACCACAGAATAATGTAATCATAGGGGTTGGAAGGGAACTCGAGATCTTCTAGTCCAACTCACTGCTAAAGTAGTTTGATGAGTAGGTTGCACAGGAAGACGTGGAGATCAATGCTGTAAGATGTCCAGGGATCTTGGTCCTAGATCATTCAGTGTGGGCAGTATCACTACAGGAACATCTTTCAGCCCAAACTTCCTGAGCCAACAGTGACCTGACTGCAGGGGAGGGAGATGAAGATCTAGGGAGTAAAACATTGTGGGTGTGGGAAGGATGCAGGGAGGGAGGGAAATAGTAAGCAGGATAAAGGTTGTAACATCACTGGTTCTTCAGTAAAACCCAGTATCCAGATCTATGTTGGCATTTATACTGCCTTGCGATAAGAGGTCAGCATTATTTCCATTTCTTTGGTTTAGAAACAGCCTAAATTTTACAGATAGGGCACTTTGAAGTGCATCTGTAAGAAATGTCCCCAAGAGATGAATTTTCTGCTCTCTTCAGAAAAACTGTTTCAGCTAACAAAGAGTTCAATGCCCTGCAGGCCTGCTACAGTGTTCCTTCAGCTTATCTTGGAAAACAACTGCTCATCAGAGGTCATCGCTCATCCGCTGCTCTTCAAAAGAAACCATCCTTGTTCCCACTCTTGGTGACATGTGAGATTTGTTATAGTCAGAGGTTGTCCCATCCAGAGATTACAAATACAAAAATGGACTTACATGCTCAGCTGCATTGAAAGACAAAGTTTATCAAAACAGATTTTTGGTATAAATTTTCTATATTTGTTAGCTCTAACAGACACTGAGAGACAGATAGCTCAGTAAGCAGCTGTAAACAGACGTGCAGATGAGCCCTTCACGATGCCAGTATGCTGAGTTCGTGCTTACAAAGGAAGGCCACGCATCACTTTTGTCCCCCCCACTTTGTCTCTCTGTTTCAGAAAAAGACAGAGAACTACAGAGTATGTCTGGAAACTTCCATGTAACTCAGATAATCATGGGATATAAGAGCTTGCTACACTTTTGAGAGGTGCAGCTTGTAAAACAGGCTGTATTAGCACTGCAAGTACACATTCCCACACCAATAATCCCAACACTCATTAATGTGAATGCTGAGAAAGCGTAGCAGGGAAATACTGACTGTAATAGTTTAGTTCACAGTAACTTAAAGGTTATAGCAGCCATACCTTATTTCCTCTCTTGGCTAGGAAAGTGGAATTGTTTTGGAAGGAGGATGATGGACACTTTCTTTTTCCTTCCCTCTCTTTCATTACGCAGGAAGTAATGCCATGGTCTAAACAAAGTAGGGCAGGGGGGTTGGACTCGATGATCTCTGGAGGTCCCTTCCAACCCCTACAGTTCTGTGATTCTGTGAAAGTACTTCAGGATTCTCAAGATCATACATCACATGTTACAAAGGAAATTACAATGAAGTCACAATACAGTTGGGGCAGTGTGGTTGGGTTGTTGTTGGACTTGATGATCTTTTAGGTCTTTTCCAACCTGAGCAATTCTGTGATTCTGTGATCTCGCTTCAGAGCTCATCTCCTGAATTAAAAGACGAGGTAATCCATACGTATGCAACATGCTTCAAAATATGCTGTCTATTGTACTCACATCAAAGAGGAAAAAAGTTAGACTGCAAATAAATTGGAAAATTAAAGTGAATGCAGCTTGGAGTAGATAATTCTTTGAACTTCTGTTCCTTGCATTCATGTTACAAAAACAGAAGGAAGCTGGCAAAAGTGGTAATTCTCAGCTATCAGTGCTCTATATGAGCCATGAGAATCATTGCTCTCCGAGACATCCTTTGAAGTCAAAGAAAAGTAACAGGCAAGAGTGGGCAGGGATTTTACTCTATATAATAGCAATATTCTATTTCTTACAAAGGCATTTCTACCGCTTGCCTCATTTTATGGCTTTTGCAACACTCTGCATGGTGAAGTTTCTAATGAGTTTCCTTCCTGATAATGCTTTTGTCAGCTATGTGCCAATTTATTCTCCACATATCAGTGATTCTCTGGTAGAAAAAGGCTATAAAAATAATATAGATATATTTCACTAGAAGGCTGGCTTCAAAGATGCATTTAATTTGCTTATCTGAATATATCTGATCTCTCATATGAGCTCAAAAAATACATAGCAGGACTTAAAGGTGTTTTACATTCTTTCTCATCCCCATAAAAACTCAAGTTTACCATAATGTTCTTCTCTAGGTCTGATCTCAGGAGCAACAGACATTACTGAGCAGTCACAAAGACAGTAAAAGAACATAAGAAAAGCATTACTTCAGCTATGTTGGCTTTTCTCAATATAGTCTTGTCAAAATCGTGTAGGTTAATATCACTTTGAAATATAGATTGGATACGTACTGGAAATGTTTACTGTTTTCCATCTAATTAGGAAGTAAATGCTGGTCAACATATTTATATAAGTTGCTCCAAAAGTAATGCCTCCTATTTCTTTCCAAAGAAACTACAATAGATATGAAGAGCACAATCTCAGCTACAAAACTGTCTTTCAGCATTGTCAGCACCACTAACTATACATCTTCCCCAGTGATGGACAAGAGCCTGCATGCTGCACCCATAAAAATCTCTGTGAGTGGAGCTGTTTCACAGCTGCTATGAAGACATGTGGTCCATCTTTCATCAGCTTGAACAGATGAAGTCAGAAGGCACCAACATATGGTAGGTATGGTAGCACAGTCCATCCAGGATCTGGCCTCTGCACTTTCATCTTCAAACTGGTATGGGTCCTGGTGTTATTGCATGGCAAGTGAGAGGTTGCCTTCTTCTCTGGCCTAACTCTGGAAGCTTCAGGTTGGTCAGTCTCACAATGTAACAGTCTGAGTTGAGGAAATCTAGAAGGATCACTCCTTCCCTTTCCCAACAGACAGTGCACATCACTTGATCTGTATGGACTGCATCCTGACCATTTTCTTAGATGTAGGAATTCACATGCCATCACTCCATGGACTGCTGTTTTGGCTCTGGACTATAATGGTCACACCATGTCTCATCACCAGAAATGACACAATCCAGGAAACTATCACCTTCAGCCTTTAGTGTTTGTCCAGTAGGTCCTGACAAACTTGCACAGTGTTTTCTGTTCCTGTGTGAGCATCCATGGGACCCACCTGGTGCAGACTTCACAATATTCAAACATTGCCACCATCATTTCCTACACACTGAAGCTGATATTCAGCTCTGTACACAGTTCCCTGATTGTAAGCTGTCAGTTCATACAAATGTGCTGACACTTTGTGTGACAGCTGCGCATGGCCATCCAGAACATGGTGTGTCTTTCTGTCACCACTGCTGAAATACAGCACCCACTGCCTCACTGCACTCTTTGGCCTCCATAAACATTCAGCAAGTGTCAATTGATATCAGCGGGTGCAATTAATTCCACATGGAGGAATTCAGTGACACGCCTGTTTCATACAAACTTCCATGTCAGATGCCATTTGGTCAGACTGCCCCTCTGCTGCCATCTGTTACATGGCAACAAAATGTAATGGAATGTGGGTGGGAAGGTTCAACCTCTACTGCCATACCACCAGCATTTGCCTCTGATGTTGTGGGTCAGCATAAAAAAGGAAGCATTACTTTCAGAGCAGCCCTCATAACATCTCTTTTCACTAAGCATTAACTGCAAATTCACATTAATAGCAATTTTTCAAAAACTACAGTGAGCTTGAAAATTACGTAGTAACAAATGTGAAACACGCTTAATGATGTTCAAGGACAAATTAGAATTTAAAATATACTTCCACCCTCTTTTCTCAACTAAGCAGTTCCTGATTATCCAATTTAGTGTTAACATTCTTGCCTCATCTCAGAGGAGGAAGCCCTCCCAGAGGATAAACAGACTAAATACTTGCCTTTCAATATTTGCTTTAAAGTAAGATTAACTATTTATTACCAAAGAAAAATATTAATTTAACAGATGGATAACGTTTAGCCCTCTGTAGCTACTTCACAAATACGAGCCCGCGTGGATAGGATATTTCTCATCATGTTTAGAAAAAAATGGGAGAGGTATCCACAGAGCACATCTATAGTACATATACCTTGTACGCATCTACTCTCTTTCCCTCTCTTCATCCACATCTTCAGTATTTTTGATGTACAAACTGTCCACTTTCTGAAAGTTTTAGAGTCCAGATGTCATTGTCTATGTTTGAGTAACGTAGTTGACCATGTGCTGCATAAATTGATTTGTGTAACACTTAATCTCTAATCTCAGCAGAGTTTTGCTTAGCACTTGTTATAAGGTTCCTCCTGGGAAGCATTACTGAGTTAAGAAAGTTGTCAGTGGAGAAGGCAGGCTCAATGTCAAGCTAATAAATAAATTAAAATCATTATTTTGCATCATCTTTTTTCCTACATTAAAAAAAAAAAAACAAAAAATGCACACATTTCTCCTAAACTCTTGCCCAGAAGGTCAGAGGGGATTGAAGTAATTTTCATTTACCCACTGATTCTCAGAAGAAGGTTTTGGTGGCCAGAACTATTCAGAATCAATTGGAGTGAGAATCTAAGTCTCCTAAATCGAGGACTATCTTTACAGAAGGGAAGATAGAAATCCTTGTCTTTTCATCCATTTAGATAGGTCGGCACCCAGTACCAGTCATTGACAAGGCTACACAACTGCCCCTTTCCCTCACAATCAAAATTAAAAGTCATTGAATTCCAGGGAACCAGATTTTGGAGGGAGGTTGGACTAGATGGTATCTCCAGAGGTCCTTTCTAACCCTTTGATTTGCTGATTCTGTGTCTCAGATGCTTTGAAAACTCCTTTCCATAGGGAAACCTGCTGCCCGCTTGTATCAATAATAAATAATACAGACAATGTTACACTCCACTATAATCATCTGGAAAATGCATTCAGGAAGGCTCAGCTGTGACCACGTAAGCCCACTTGGGGAGGTGGTTACAAACTGATCCATGGGCATCTCCTGTATGGTGGTGACAATATACACCTACTGCCTTGGTCATCTATGATCGAGAGATGGTAAGAGGGACTGGGAGAAAGGAAAGGTAGGATGAAAACCAATACTTTTTTTTTCCTTTCACCTGAAAGAAAACCTTCAGAGGGAAAAAAAAAAAACCAAAAAAAAAACACCAAAAAGCTCTAAGGGAATCCTCTAAACTGCGAGCCTTGAACAACATACCCTGCGTAGATGTCAAGCAGTCACGATCGGCCTGTGGCTTTTTATTGCATCCTTATCTACCTTTACAGGCAGGTTTTGGTGAAACCAGAATATCTTCTTGAAACAGTAAGTCAGGAAGTTGCAATGCAGAAGTCTTTCTTTCCTTCATTCCTGCATTTGAAAAGCTGGGGCCAATTTAGCAGTGCTGATGATGCTTTGAAGGGAGAAAAAGGTTGAAGGTTCCAAAAGCTGCAGCAGCACAATGAAATAAAGGATTTATTTTAAAGATGTGTCCAGAAGGAATTATTCATTGCACTTGGATGGTCGGTTGGAACTCCAAATACCCTGGCTAAGCCAGAACAGACAGTGGCAGAAGTGAATCAGAACTGAAGATACAGCATAATTTCACCATTGAAGTGCACTAATTAGCAGACTGGAAGTGTGGCAGGGAGTTATTATTGGTTTTTATCTTTTTGTTGCTCTGTCTGGAACTGAGTTAGCTTCCTGAGAGTGAAGGTAGATGAATTTACATGTAAAGGGACTGCAGTAGTCTAGAGAATCTGCAAGTGATCTTCTAAATAAGAAACTCATCTGTCCCAAGATGAACTATAAATGCATGTATCTAAGTCACAGGTTCAACTTGCTCTCTTGAAGTTTCAGACTAAGTTTAATCTCTGTATTATGTCTATATGTGGACAATCATGGCAGCACACAGTCTGTGAAAAACAAACACTTACCCAAAAAATATTGCCTATATTATTGCCTATTGCCTACTTTTAATGAAAACATTGTCCCTGCATTTATCTGTAGTCCTGTTACTGCTCCTAGTATAAATACTAGAAAATGTTTAAGGGCAAGGTGTCAGTGGCACAATCTAAAAAGACACGTTTTTAACCATTGCTGGACATTGCAGACCAGTTTCATTTGGTCATTCTGAATCTTTGTGGTCATCCACCATGTCTTTCCAGACAAAGATACCCCAGTAAAATAAGTGAAGTGAATAAGGTCAGAAATGTGTGTCAGTGACAAGATCAAACACAGAATGAACCTGCTAAGTACACTTCTGAAACACAGAGACACACAAGGATGCTTATAAACAAGCAGGAATTCCCTCAAAACACAGTTTTAAAAGGATCAACTTTCAAGTCAGCTATTTTTGAAAGCAAAGTGGCTTACTTTTTTTGCTACACTACTTATATTTGACTTAGATGGAAGCATATTAATTATGTGTAATATGCTTGGAATGTGTGGAAAATAAAAAATTTTCCATATGAGTCAGCACAGGAAACAAACTGCAAATGAGTAGAATGGTGAGAAGTCTACAGATGGAGATTTTTTTTTTAATACACCAGAGCAGAGTACTGACATCATGACTTCTTATAGAGCAAAGTACCACAGAAATGACTGATGACACACCAGAGACTGAATAAGAGCAAACAAGAACTGCCTTCTGATCTGCATAGTTTAAGCTTCTCATCTGATGCAAACATTAAGAGTTTCTGTCTCTGTTGATGTCAGACAGCTTTGCCTCCTTTTACTTGCCAAAGCTTACCACATTCTTGCTGAACACAGAACACTGCAGATAACACCAAGCCAAAACATCTCCAAATCTGCCTCATTTTCTTTTCAGTGATAGGAAATAAACAAACCAGCATCTTCTAAATAATGACCTACTGATACATTGCATGAGATACTTTGGCTTCGAGATTTTTCCCTTGTTGGAGTTAGATATTAGAATCGTAAAAGAACAGTAATAATAGGAAAATTAGGAGCAAGAACAGCAACTCTATCAATTTCTACAAGTCATGCTGTGAGAGGATGTTCTTAAGCAGACATACTTAAGAAAATACATAACCTATCATGGAGCTGAATCCTCAGTCCTAACCCTACCAGTGCCTGGAGCTCACAGTGGCAGAAGTGGGGGAATACAAAGCGGTGTAAGAGTGAGTGACAGAAGTGAACATGTATTCCAACAAATTATTGAGTTGCTCTGAAATCACGTGAAGTATTACTACTGACTTCAGTATTAGAACTGGAGATGGTATCATGGTATCTCACAGTAGTGGAAGGCCCCATTAACAAATGGATGTTCCATACACATCATAGTATTGCTTTGGATCCAAAGTTATCTCACATACTGTATTAGGCAGCAAATTACTGCTTCTGTGGCAATTTTTTCTTCTCCTTAGAGAGGTGGAACTTAAGGCACAGCCTAGTATAGTTAGAAGAAACACAGCCACTCCTGTCTTTAATGTAAGGTAAAAAGCACAGTGTTAATATTAATTAATATTGCTTTTTCTTTTGAGAATGAACCAGAGTTTATGAGCAAATTTGCATTACAGTCATCCTAGTAAACACCTTCCTTTGAGTGCTTAAACCTATTCCATAGATTTGCCCTTTACCTTACGACTGTACTTCTGTCCAAGGAACAAACAGGAACACGTGCTGTGTTCCAGTGGCAAAATTCAGCTCCTGGTGTCTTAACAACCAAGGAGGGATGATGTGCGTATTTTTTGTAGGTAGATAACATTT